TCCTCTTTCTAAGCCAGTGTAATTTATTCTTTGTTTCTGGCTTCTTAAAATATTTGCMGTCACCCCCTCTGCCGCTAACATAGTTTATGGAAGTTTACAAAATGTACATAGAGTAAAAAAGTAAACTCTCGGCAGACCGAAGATCGGCAGGGCGTCCTGAGGTGTCAGCTGAAAGAGGGAGCCATCAAACTGAACAGGGCGTTGATTAGATGCCCCACCACCCCTTTAGCTAATTGCCTGGTGCAGTCATGTCACAGTATGGTTCTAAACACAGTATAAGCTTAGTTCATCCAAACCAAAAAAAGCTTGTATATTCTGCTAGAATCTCATGCAATGTAGAAATTTGCAGATATTTATGATGAACAATGAAAACATGAAACCGACACGTTCACTAACAAAATATTGACTTGTTGGAGGGAAAACTGTTTCAGGGAGACACACCATATTGTCTTGTACATATAGAGATACATATTTTAGTGTTGAGTTAAGTGATGTTTGACTAGAAGAACTAAAGAACTTTTGCAAAGGCCAGCAGTGGGAATATATACTCTAAACAATGCCAGAAGTATTGACATAAAACTGTTTTATACTATTGGAATAAGTGTTAATGTTCTTAAAGACTTGTTTAGTGTTCTTAATAATCTGCATCATTCAAACGTGAAAATCCTAAGCTGACTTGAAGGCAGACGTATTTGTTGATCCAACCCACAGCAGTTTTATCACACTTGACATTGTGTCACAGCAACTTACATGACAAGGGTGCTTTTTTCCAACACAACACTGGTAGACATAAAAAACATTGACCCAAATATTATACAAACTTTTGAAAGAACAATGTTATATTAACGAGGGCTGCGTATTGGCAAGAATTTGGTGATATGATGCATATCATGACACGGGTCACAATACGATATCTTGCGTTACTGTAAGCGAGGCGATATATTTCAATTATAAATAGGCATTTTTTTCTCTAAAAATTAAAATGTAAAAATCTCAGTATCTTTTATGTCTTTTTATGTTTCATATTTATTATTTCATCCATGTTTTCAATGGTTAGGCCAAATGTGCCATTAAATAGTTTGATTATATATCTGTGTTAGCTTTTAGATTTATAATAGCCTACATCTTGTGCAAAAGTTCAGTAAATGGATCAAATGAAGCTGCTACAGTTTGTGTTACTTTCACGGCACACCTTAATGGGGTAGCACYAGTATGACGGTCATCTCAATATCCTCAGTTTTCTTATGGTTGTTATATTTAGCCTCTTCAGTACTATCCCTCGGGGGCCCCCTTCAGCTCAGGGTGCTAGACAAATGCCTATCTACTGCTGTACTGTGACGGCTGACTGCAGTCGAGAGACTTCAATTTGGCCTAAAATATGTGACATCCTGGCTAAAACAGGACAGTTGGCAACTCTACCTCAGGCTTGAAGGAAGCGGGTGTCTAATCCACTCACTTTTGGTACTTAGTGATAAAGTTTCTTCACGATGCTAGCATTATACTCTCTGGCTCTTCAGGATTGGAGGAGCCAAATGGCTAACTGACTGCTGCCAATTAGRGGTTGGAGGCTAAAATACAACACAAGAATGAATCGCTGACACAAAACTTTATATTTTAAGCCTCAGCTAAATATTGATAGCTCTTTAGAGAATCAATACAGTATCAGGAAATTAAATATCGCAATATTTCAGTGTATCAATATTTTTTGTTAGTGGAGCATTTTGCATGAAACCTACTGCTAAAACATCTTAAATTAAAAAGCCAGACACTTTTCAGACTTTGTCCTTTCTCCGACATCACACAAAGAATCAGGACACACCTACATACCTCCAGGTGTGTCTTTGTAAAGTGTAGGGGTATGAGAAGGGGTTCAAACTTATGGTAACATTTCTCAGTTGACCCAAATCACCTGTTTAAGGATTACAACAAATATATTTGTTTAATTTTYTTGTAAATCATTTGATACTTTTYGCWAATTATTTCTTCTGTTTGYGTTGGTGTCAATTGTAAACATCCTTTACCTTTTGTCTATAGTGTGATTGGTGCAAAAACTAAATTTGTTTTTAAGACACTTTGTCATTGTGAAAGCAAGAGAGCTGTATTGATCATTGGAGGAAAATTCCTGAGTCAAGCCAGGCAATGCACACYTTCTCACTGAAATGTTGTTTAGTTTTGGGAAATTAAAATAATAAAGCTCTTGTCTAAATAAAACATCAGTGTTAAAATCACTAACGGCAGAGAATAAGTGTTAAAGGGTCATTGTGGTGTATGAGTATTGATGCTCTGTCTGATGAGCAGGTTTCAATAAGAACTATTTAGGGTAGACAAAACAGGGTCGATTTATTAATGTAAGTTTTTAAGCTACATTTAAAAACAAATTGACAGGAATTCCCACTGTGTGTGCACACCTGCAAGGTCACTTCAGGTAAATAAACATGTRAGACAGGATTGTAGTTCCAACGTCATCCTTCAGGTTACTAATGACCAGTCTGAGCAGTTCCACCCTTGAAAAGTTGGCTACATTTTATTTGTGGGGGGTGGGGTCCATTGCTTTGTTGTCCATAGATTTGCATTATTTWAACCAAGAGGATGTTATTGGGTTAGTAATAGCATTAATGATGATGTTATTTAACAAATAAACRAGTAATTCAGATCATACTGTGCAAATGTAAAATAAATATAAAAAACTGTACACTTACCATGGCTTAATTTTTTTCCTTTTTTTATTATTAATTTATTTTTCCCCACAAAATCCATTAACTTGATTTCAMGTCGTGTATTTTAGAACAGAAGTTTTTTTTAATGGATGTCTCAGAAAGTCATCAGCTTAGTAAAATTCATAATGAGGAGAAATTGCTTTTGAACACAATCGCTTGTTTGGTAATAAGCTTTATTATTTAGCTAAAAGTTTGGTTTGAATGTGTTTGTTGTCTCATTACTTTTTGTAAAAATTGATGTAATATTTTCACATGTTACATAGTTTTACATTCTTGTATATTTGTTGTTTCACATCCTCAGTGGTGAAGGTATGTTCAGGAAATGTCTCATCATGTTAATTTTTTTCATTTGAATAAAGTGATGCTTTTTTGGACTTACTTGAACATCCTTGGTTTTGGCATGAGGTCTCCACTCTCATCACATCAGAAACRCCACAGACATGTAGGCAGCCAAGCATGATGATTTCTCAGTTTTGGCTGAATTTTCTGCATCGTTTTATGACTCCACCTTTTTAATAAAGCGGTGCTTGTGCTGCCTGTGTCCTGAGCATGATGAGACGTGACTGTTCCTTGTGGCTTCACTTCTCTCTCCTCTGAGGTATTTCACAGTGGCCCTGCAGTGACAGCCCAAGCAGATATAATTAGGAGAGGTGCAGTCGATAAAAGGGAGAGTGTTGGCTATTGACCAGCCATGTCTGTGGGACTTCGCTGCATTTGAGCGGCACGCAGATGCTGATACATCCATTCTTGTGATCATTGCTTGTTCGCCTTTATCTACACCATAACATTCGTGAGCGACGCATTAACAAATTGTACTTGGGGGCACTTCTCTTTTTCTGTAGCCGTTCTCTGGAAGATAAACCCCACAGCTARGAAGACATTAGCTCATCTCAGATTGCTTCAGCTGCAGGGAAGAAAAACTCAGTCAATTAGGAGCGTGTGACCGAAGCAAATGGCACATTAGTGAATTAGGGCTGCGGTTTGAGCAGGAAATAAGCCCAGCTTGCCCCTGCTGTGTAGCAGCACTTTGCAGCCTCAGTACTGCATCCCTCTAACACATCTGATTGTAATGGATCCTAATCAGCAGGGTTCAGACCTCAATAATGACCCCATTAATATCTTGCTTATGTTGAAGATGACAACAGGTCAGTTAGTTAAATGTTGCTTAAACAGGTTGTACATGAAGTTTTGTTCACAAGATGTGAAAAAATGTTTTTTTTTTCTAACCCTGCAATATATATGTATTAAGAAAAAAAAATTCAGGATTTTTCAACAGATGACTTAAAATAACACTTTAAGTTATGCTCCCATCTTGTTGACAACGAACCTGCACCAATCCTACCTKTTTATTCATGTTACAAGTATGTTTTTATTCAGTATTTGAGTTATTCTTGGTACGRTTGATTGTGCTGGGACCRGAGTACACGTTTCCTTTTACCATGTGCAAACGTGAATAGCATTTTACTGCCGAACYTGTTGCATCTGTCTGTCTTGGTTGATGATTCCATTAGGGATGTCCCGATCAGATACTCAGTATCGGTGGCAGATATGGCCATTTTTTTGAAAATCTGGTAGAATCGGATTTAGTCATGTGATCAGGCCGATCCAGTTTTCGCGACAGTTTTCAGCATCATCATGCCTTACAACTGCCGTTAAGAAGTCAAGACGCACACAAGTATGCAACCATGTCCACAGTGAATGGAAAACAATGATGCTGAAACTGCATCTTGCAAAATCTGCAAACTGGATGTTTCTCGTGGTGGGAACAGCAGGGCTCGCTTTAATACTACCAACCTTGTCACTTGGAAAGAAATAAAAAATAAAGCTATCAGTATCGGATCAGTATCGGATCGGTATCAGAAAGACTAATCATTAAAAGAAATCTGATTGTATTGGGAGCCAAAAAATCTGGATCGGGACATCCCTTAATTCCATCACCCTTTTAATATTAGCATTCATGCTAATCCTATTTTACCTCCTTTTCACAAAAAAAAAAAGGAAGTTTTACCTTTCTTGACACAAAGCCGCTCACTTCTGGAAGCAACTCGTCAAAATAAAAGTCGCAACACGTGACCATTTAGTGTAATGACTTATCGTTTTTAGTCCCTAGATAAAACGTTGATTTAATTCGCCCTCTACATCACAGGACCTGCAATGTGAGTATTGCGCACATGTTTATCGCAATGACGATGCTCAAGCGATATATCGTGCAGCTCTAGTTGTTATTTTGTAAAGGGCAAAACCAAYTGGTTACATTGCTCCTTTTTTCACTGTTTTTCTTAGAGTGCAGCAGCAGCCCCCAGCCCTGTGATGGGAGGGATGCCTCCTGGTGAGGGAATGCCAGGAGGACCAATGCCACCTGCATTTTTCCAAGTAAGTCCATCGCTACACTCATATTGCTGCTGTTTGTTTTCCTGCCATTTTAACTTTCATCACTTGGTAAAAATCTAATCGGATATCAAATTTGTAAAGAAAATAAATAATATTTCTCAGCTTCTGATAATCGGGGTGCATCTGCTTCACTGTGCTTTGTGAACCAGTCATAAACATCACAGATGTTCTGACAGCCTGGACCTCCACCCTCCTGCGCTGTAAACAGGCAGGCGTGGTCCAGTCATTTCCCCTAATGGAGAAATCGAAAGGTGCAGCACCCACTGAAAATCAATACGCCATGAAGATAAAGTCTCTGCAGGCACCTGTGTGCAACTAACTTGTTAGGAAAGAAGACATCGCTCTTRTGCCACTTGGGCAAATTATTCACAACAAATTCAGGCATTTTTTTTCTTTCTTATTATGAACTGGAAGCCAAAGCAGTTCTGTGACTCATTATTTCATCATTCTTATACCAGAAGTCATTTTGATGTCTACATATAAGCACACACACACACTCAATCCTATCCATAGCGAAAATGAAGGAGGCGGCTCAATTAGACCCCTCACTTTGTCAGATCAGCAACATCAGTACCAGTGTTTAGTGTTGTTATAAAGCTAATTGCATAGAGCCTAATTGATGCTGTTAATTCAAGGAAATTAGCACTGATAACATGCTGCATGCAGCAGGCTTCTTGATGTTTTGACTGACAGGCGTAAGAGCTCACATCCTCTCCATCTCGGTCTCTTCTCACTCATTCAAGGCTGTCATTTACTTGTTCTTCTCTGCTCAGTTTCACTTTTTTGCCGTTGTGTACACGAAAAAAAAGGCTTTTGTATGTTTTGGCGCCGCACTTTGGCTCTTGCTCTCCAACTATTCCRCTGCCCTGTAATAACCCCGCATCTCTCCCTGCTTCTTCTTGCTCCCTCTTTTCTTTTTTTTTTCTTCTTTTTGTCTCATCTTTCCCTCTGTCTCTTTTCTGTACCCCCTGCCCCCCACTTGCCTCGGCATTTTCTGTGACGCTGTAGGGTCCTCCTGGTCCCCAGGGCTCTCCTCACCCTCAGCCTCCTCCCCCTAACAGTATGATGGGACCTCACAGTCAGGTAAAGCTGTCYTACCTGTCTCTCTTGTTCTTTTTTTCCTGGTCTGCAGTCACTTTGAGACGTTGGTTCTGATGCTTCATGCTTTGGCTTCTTTCTGAACTTTTAATGCCTTTGTTGCTTTCACTGTTTACACACTAAGAAGATAGAATACTATGAAATGTTTGTGTTCGGACTAACATCATTAGCATACACACACGTTCGACTTGCACATATGACTATACTACCATTTACTTGCAAAGAGGGCACCGGGCACCATGGGAGCACAGGCTGTTTGAATCGAATAAACTTGCTTGGGTTGTTGTTTTTTTTGATGGTTTGCTTCAAGTCTGCAGTTTATTATAAATATTTCAATTCTAAACTGCAAAATAAATTGGTTGCCTTTATCTATGTGCTAAGCCTGTTTGTATTTAAAACTGGACTGTGAGGTAACTAATGTGGCAAATGTAATTCAATAAATGATCAAATATGGAAATTAAGTGATATTGAATGACTAAATTTTCTGAAATCTTTAAAATTGTATCAATTTAAATGGTAATTATTGAGTTATTTTGTGCTGCAAAGGACCACCTGTGCTGTAATATTTAAAATTTAAGAATGTTATATAAAGGCAAAAACACTTGAACGTTAAAAACCTGTTGACTACTGACAATATTACAGCAATACTACTTACCCCTTACGTTTGTATAAAGTAAATTTTGTATATAGCAATATACTTATTAAATGTAATTTTTTTAGATTTTTTTTTAAGTTGCTGCAGACAATGAAACATTTTGGTGGTCATCAAGAGATTGTCCGCTAGACAACCTGGAAAATTTTCTTRTTGTCAATCTCTGAAATGTGCACAAAGTCTCTGAAATTTTAAGAAACCTCTGTGTTTACGTTGTAGCCCTTCATGTCGCCTCGCTTTGCTGGAGGCCCAAGAGGTCCCCCCATGAGGATGGCCAACCAGGTAGAGTCCACTGAAACATTCAAAACATACTAATAGTTTCTCAGCTAACTCAAAAAATAGTAACCCTCTAGAAACAGTTTTATGTTTTGACACCTAACTATCTGACTTTCAACAAAGAAACTGTGGCCAACATTATTATTTTTCACTGGTCCAGAACCAGTCTGTTTATGCTGAGGGCTGGGAGTGGGTTTTATCCTAATAGTGCAGCAGCTAAGTAGAAAAACACTTTAGTTTGTGATGCAAGCATGAAATTTTGCACAAACCCTCACTGTAACCCTCGCTTAAAAATGTCTCGGTGACGTCAATACAGAATTTCAAGATGACTGCCAGTTGTACTGATTTCTGACTTTGGGCATAAACAAAGGAAAATAATACATAATTTCTTGTTAAATTAAAGTCTTCCTGGGTAGTAGAGTTTTTTTTAAAATAAATCAAGAGAAAAAATAAGCTCAAAATAAGAGTTCAACAAACAGCGTACAAAATGGCTGCCATCAAACAGTTTTGTTTGTTAACTCAGCAACTAAGAAAGGTAAAGATGTGAAATGTTGAATAAAGCCTACATTTTGATGCATGTTTTGATCCTCTAAAAGAGGATCAGTATGAGTTATGATGCTTAGCGATTAAATGGTTAACAAAAAATAACTTATTTAAGAGGATAGTTACATCTCACAGTTACAGCTGCACAAAGCTGTGCATGCAAGCCCAAGCCTTTTATACTTGCATCTTCTACGACAACCAGACTTGCAGCCACATTTGGTGAGTTGTTCACAACTCTCTGTAATGGGGGTGCTGGGTGTTGATGGGTTGGGAAAACRCCAATCAAATGGACTCTGCTTCTGTTTRACAAGTCATTATGTAAAARCATGACTGGTGGCCATATTGAAAATTTGAGTGGACACCCAGTAATTTAAAAAAAATTGGCCTATGGAGAATGTACCAAATTTTGTGCTAGCATCACTTTAGTGAAAAAATGAGTTTATCTGCTGCACTATAATGAAAGACTTTTATTTTGATTGACTTATCTGTATAAAGTGATGATCTGGACWGTTGCAACACATTGGTTGTATTTAAAAATGCTATTATACAAATGTTTTTGGTGGTTTTTTTTCCTTGTAGCCACCAGGCGGAGGACCAGGTCCTCATCCTATGCTGCCCAACATGGACCCGACACGACCACAAGGTGCTTTCTTTTAACCGCGTTCTCAGGGTTCCTGCAGATCCCAGAAAAGTTACAAAAGGCATTGAATTCATCGATCCAAAAATAAGACCTTAACTAGCCTTAAAATGTCTTAAATCAATCTTGTAGAAGTCTTAAAAATGTTAACACAGTGTAAATAGGATGATTGGAATTCATCTCAACTATTAAAATAATTGGTAACATTTATTTATTTTTTTAAACATTCACATGCAGGCATTCCTCTTTGACATCACTTCCTGTTGCATCATATGCAGATATCTCAACAACCGTCCGTCTGAGCATCATGAAATTTGTTTCATAATATGTTAATAATGTTGTCTTTCCAAAAATATATCCGCGTTTCTTACAAAAATTTATGCCACAGGCACTTTAAGGTTTCATCTACAGCGAATTGGGGTTGAGACCCCACTGTGGGTCCTAAAACTCCTAATTTTGGGTTGTTAGAGGATTTCCTGAAATTAATTTAAGTTTAAAACTGACTGTTAAGAATGTTTTTGCTATATTTGACAAAAAAAAAGCAGTTAGATGTGGTTAAAAACTATTGGTTTATTAGGAATATTTGAATACTTAAACCAAAAATACTGTGATTCATGAGTTTCTGTCAGTTTTTATTTATTTATTTTTTGTCCTTTGTGTTTATTGTGAAATTGGTCTTAAATTTAATTTAATTTGGCTTCAAAAAGTCTTAAATTTAACTTGCCTTAAACTGTAGGAACCCTGATTCTGCAATTGCAGCTCATACATCCAACTGTTTTCTTGCTTCTTGATTTACATAATGTTTGTAACCCTTTAGGCCATCCTAACCTTGGTCCAATGCAGAGAATGAGTGGCCCTAGAGGCATGGGGCCCATGGGGCCTGGCCCTCAGGTAGGGTCCCTGATGCATATGTTATTTATTTATTTATTTATTTATTTATTTATTTATTTTTGTTTGCAATTTCTGTTTGGAAATGTTTTGTTGCAACCAAATGAAGTAGATGTCATCAACAGCCATCCTCGTGGTTTGATCAAAATCAAACTTGTGGTATTATAATTTTTTTTTGCCTTTCTAGAACTTTGGTGGTGGCATGAGGCCTCCACACAACACTATGGGTCCTGGTATGCCAGGAGTGAACATGTAAGCTTTTCATTTGCTTATATTGTCACAGAACATCCAGCCTAAATGCAAAACCTAACCACAGTTGGTACTCTTTAGGGGCCCAGGGACAGGTCGACAATGGCCCAATCCCAACAATGCCAACCCTGTAAGTACTAATCCATACACAAATCACAGAGAAATGTAGATTCTGAATACTTTRAGCTCTTTCCTCTGAGCTGTAGAAGTTATAGTCTGGGATGTAATTGTAGTATTATGTGTCATGGTTTCCACAGACGGTTGGACAGCTGTAATGGTATTAGGATGATCAGATGATAAATGATGACAGTTTGAGGTGTTTGCACTCTCTCTTGGTCTGTAATGTTTCTGTCTTTGGTTTCAGATGCCTTACTCATCACCCTCTCCGGGTGCATACGGGGTGAGAACGCATGGCGAAATGTTGCACGTTCAGCAGAAATTTTACAATGAGATATGAGCTGTAGGGTGCGAAGCTGTAATATGTTTCTTGTTTCTTCTGTTTGCTTCTTCAAAGGGGGCATCTGGGGGAGGCGGTCCTCCAGGAACTCCCATCATGCCCAGCCCTGCAGGTTAGGTCTTTCCTGACCTAAAAATATCAGACTTCCTCTTTTCTTTCTTTCTGTTTTTGGCTTCAACTGCATTTAGTTATTTTTTCCTCCTTTTTTTTTATTCAGACTCAAACAACTCTGGTGACAACTTGTACACAATGATCAACACTGGACCTGGCAACCGAAATAATGTGAGTTGTTTTTCTTGTACTTTTGTATCAAAGAGTTTTTGTTTGGGCAAAGGCAGTGATGGGGGGTGCAAATGTTATCCCACTGCTGATGCATCTTTGTGTCATTAAATGAGGTTGTACTAGAGCTGAAACTGTCAGCTGGCTAATGTGCTAAACCCTTATTAGCCATTGTGGAAACCTGTTTTATTGCATCTCCCTTGGTGTGACTCGCTGTCTGAAATGTTGACTTCAGCTGATTGCAGGATTAAACAACAAACAGTCAYTAACACACAGCAACTTTTGTATTTACCGTATTTAGGTGAAACAAGTTTTCCACAAAAYTTATCTATAAAGTTGGAGAGTAAATTTTGATAGATCTTTTTCTYACGTACTATTCAGTATTTTCTGGTATAAACTGATGTATTGTGTTGTGGGGGATAAATCATGTTAATTCCTCCATTTGCCCTCCTACTGTAGAACACGTCGCTCAAAGCGAAGGACAAACAATCAGAGAAAGAAAAARTTAATACAGTAGTTTAAAAATGAGTTAAGCAGAGAAAATCACTAAACTTAGTTCATCATGGTTTGAAAACCATGTCAGCAACATTGAAATTATAAGTTCTTGTATTTTTTTTTACGGTTAATGGTATAAAACTGATCACATTGTAACAGAACGAGCCACGTTATGCTGATGTGTAAGAAAAAGAAACAAAAAAAATCTTTTTTAAAGAGCAATATCATTAAATTTAGTGGTTTTCATGCCTAATGAAATTGTTTTGGGAATTTTCTTTTATTCCTAAAGAGAGTGGCATGTAATAAAAAAAAAAAAAATTCAAAGACCCAACACAAGTGTTTCTTGCCTTCCTGAAGCTCACATGCTGTGTGCTGCACTGTTCATCTGGGAACACATAAAATAGATTAATAATTGAAGCAAAGCTCACTAAGAATACTGGATCTGCTTGCAAGTTATTTGATACTACAGGCTGCTGTTACAGTATTGAACTAAAATGATTGCAACAAAGATATAAAGGTTTTTGGCAGAAATAGAACTAAAAATGTTTAATACCAGGTGTGAGTTAACACAGTTTTTTAAAATGGGCTTCTGAAAACTTATTCACATTAAACACAGCTTTCTTTAAGGAAATGCAGTATTTAAAATGTTTGT